CACACACACACAATCACACACAATCACACACACACACACACAATCACACACAATTACACACAATCACACACAATCACACGTATTCACACGCATTCAACGATACCACGCACGCATGCGCGCTCCCTGCCCCAGGGGTGCAGTGCCCATCACCCTGGTGATCAGCTACCTACTGCTGGCGGTGGATGAGGTGAGCGGACGAATAATGTGGACCCCTGCAAGAGCATGAGAAGCCCACGTGGATGGCCAGCAGGGGACTCTGTGCGGCCCGCTCCCCAGCCGGCTTTGATTGCCTGGCTTAGGCAGCCAGAAACGCCTCCTGCTTACACCCACCTCCCTGGACGCCGCCGAACGCGACGCTGGGTATGCCCCTCCAGCTCTGGCCTGGTTCGTTCCCTAAAGCGCCACTTGATGCCGATTGTTCTTCCACAAACACATGATCATGTACTGTGACTTTTATTTGTTGCAATTCAACCACCACAATCAGCAACACTTGTATGATCAACCACTCCCCCTTGTCAACCACCCTCAACCCCCAGATCGGGGTCCAGATCGAGGAGCCGTTCAGCATCATGCCGCTGGAGGACATACTGTACGACGTCCAGTCGGAGACCACGGCCCTCATCGCCCGCCAGGACGTGGTCGTGGACCTGCTCAGGGCAAACGGCGTCGAGTGCGACCCCCGCAGCGCCGCCGCGGCCGCGTGCGCGGTGTGCGGCGAGCCTGGCGGGGCGGCAAACGGAGGAGCCGGGAGCAGCGGCGGCGGCGGCAGCGGCGGCGGCGGCGGCGGCGGTAGTATTGGGGGCAAGTGGTCGGACTCGCTGCCAGATGCGGTGTCCGCGGCGTTTGGCAGCGGGGATTACAATCTGCCGTGACGGGTGCGATCGCACATTAGATTAGGTGACCTCACTGGTCGACGCCGCAGCTTGAATCAAGGGTAGGAAGCCGCAGCCTTTTGATCACAGCTACTCGGCTGGATTCTTGAGTTCGTGCCAGGCCTTGCTTTTACCCTGGAAAGTTCCAACCATTGCAGCTTGCCGGTCCCTGCATTTCGGGGTGTCTGACCTGCACGGCCGCGGTGGATTGGGGATTCCACCTTAACGCTGACGAGGACAGGCAGTGTCAACCTGATCAAGGCTCTGTTGTACCTTAACACGCGACACGGATGGGATTTCACCCCATGTCGCGTTGTTGCTTGTGCTGTGCGTGCCAAAACATTCTGTGACGGAGGTGGGCCCGCGCCCACCTCCATCGCCGCCCCGTGGGTGTCTAGCAAACGCCATTTAACGGCCAGGCAAGTTGTGTCCACCCCCACCCCGCGACGCTCTTGCTGTCGCTGGGCTGCAATAGCTTGACCCCTGAAGTTGGCGCCCCTGGGCAGCGATGCTCTCTCCCTTCCAAAATTCAAATTTGACCGTCGTGCTGATGGATGGGTCAAGGTTCACTCCGTGTAAGTTGACTCAGCTGTGACACAAACACACGCTTCAGGAAGAAGAGCATGTGGATGGCTACAAAAGGTGCCTATGCAGGGAATGAGGTGCACGTGCTTGACACTTGCGGCTGAGCTCAGCTGAGCTCGAGTGTCATCAGCAGCAATGGCGAGCATGTGGCAAGGCCCAAGGCCGCCCCCCG